TCCACAAAGCTCGATCGGGCAATTGCCGCTTTTACTTCCGTGATGATTGGAGCTCTCCATCGGTCCTTTCTTCATGTGATCACCTCCGAGCCTGTCCTGACAGTGAGTCCTGGTTCATTTCTGGTTTAGTCCTGGTTCAGTCCTGGATTAGTCCTCCTCTTCAGGTCTGGAATTAGTCCTAGGTTAGTCCTGGGTTAGTCCTGGTTAGTCCTGGTTTAGTTTTAGTTCAATCCATGGTATATGCAGCGTAAAAGTTTGATATCATCTCGGGTTAAAGGGCAGGTGCGGTGTTATACTGGGGGTCTCCAAGACTCCATTACGGAATGAATCAATCTTCAGTTCGTTACATAAAGAAGGAGGAAAACAACATAAGGACGACAGCAGCAATAAGTTTTAAGAAGATTGTTGTAACTGTCCTGTCTGAGAAAAGTGTATAAAGTTTGTGCTGAGGGGTTTTACAGACTTAAAACAGATACTAATTGTAAAATATAAAATTGACTACTTCGCGGATTTCACCTCTCGCGGGTTAGTTTTAGAATGTAACCCCCACGATAAACGAGGGACCAATGTACTCTCACCTCACAACCTGTGCACATGGCCTCCCACTTGTCGTGACCAGGATGGAAAACTGAGAATTTCTTGTACATGCGCATTTGTGCTTCGGTATGTTGCAGACTGACCGACTGTTTGTGTCTCTCGCTCCTTCTGAGTCACAGACGCTACAAGAGACGCTCAATTTAATGCCCCCAATGAACTGTAATGGAAAACCCGGACATTTACATCACTTAAAAAAAAAAAAAAAGTCCAGGACAGGACACAAAATACAGACATGTTTGGGGAAAAACGGACGTTTGGTCACCCTAAAGTTGGGTAAAGAAGCAGACTCATAATAGTTCAGAGCTGTTTTTGCTATTAAAACACACCATTAAAAGTGACCAATATTAACCTTACAGTCTATAATCGTGTTACTATAGAATAATGACATCAAAGTGTCTCTGCTTTTGAAAGATCATAGAACTCTTCGTACAACCATTCCAACAGCACGTTTTGAACACAACACAATTACTCTAACATTATTTCAGAGCAGCTTGTTATCCGACAAAAGTATAGTCATATTTATAACGACAAAAATCTATTTACGGGAATAAAACCGACTTAATAGCGCCGCTGAATCTGGACTGTACTTTTGGATTTGTTAGTGATTTCACATAACACATCAGCTTGCAATGCCAATGTCTATAATTGGATTCCCATAAAAGCTGGACTCACACAATACCTTTCCTGTATTCACCCTCCCACACTGCACGTTTGGTAATGGCTTAATGGAAGAGGACTCACGCTGTATTACTATAGACTATTCTTACGAATTTGGAGGCTGGACGTATGTAAAACTGACCTCATTATTTGCTTGAAGACGACATACTGTGTTTCTGTCTGCTACAGTTTATAATAGTAGGTATAATCTTTGACACCCATGGACACCCACATGGTAATTTGCACATTTAAAAACACAATATTCATCTAAAATAAACAAACTTAAAACAAACAAATCTGCTGACTTCACCTTAGAAAACTGCGATGCCCAACGGGAGCTGACTTCACCGTTATCGTCATTGTCAGAAAATCAAATTGGAGATTGGAGTAATGATGGTGGTGAAAATGTTGAAAATTTTCAATAAAAAAAAAAAAAAAAAAGTAGCTATTAACTTGTTAGAACTGAAATACAACCAAAAATTGTTCAAGGTTAAATCCTTTAACCTTCCACACTAAAATCAAGTGAATATTAAACAATGAAATCTAAGTCTCACTGCCTTTGAAAGATGATAGAACTGGTCTCACAACTATTTCAAGAATATGTTCTGAACACAACTGAATTAGTCAAACATTATTTTCCTCACCTTTCAGTACAGCTTGTTATCCACCGAGGTACAGAAATGCATTCACAAGAATAAAACTGACTCATACCGCTTATGAATCTGCACTGTACTTTTGGGTTTGTTAGCGATTTAACATAACATAACAACATTTACAATGCCATACATCAATAATTGGATTCCCATAAAAGCCACGCACACAATACCTTTCCTGTATTCACCCTCCCACACTGCACGTTTGGTAATGGCTTAATGGAAGAGGACTCACGCTGTACTACTATAGACTATTTTTACGAATTTGGAGACCGGACATATGTAAAACTGACCTCATTTTTGGCTTATTGTGTTTCTGTCTGCTATATAACATAGTAATTATAATCCAGAACACCCATGGATGATTATGTTGTAATTTGCACATTTAAAAATGCAATATTCATCTAAAATGGCTTCATAAAAGAAGTTACTGATTTTAAAACAGCAGTCACCACGGGGTCAGTCTTATCATCAGAAGAGCCTCTAGTCAGAAAATCCATGTTCAGGTAGTGTTACAAATTGTTACAAATGAAATTGTATTTCAAGTTTTAAATATTTTAAAAAGTAAATATTAAAAGTAATAAATATATTAAACCCTTAAAATACAGCAAAAATGAGGAAATAATGATTTGGGTGGAAATGTCTGTCTTAAGTGGAACAGGGTTAATAATTGTCTGATTTTCAGGCAACAACTTGCAAAATGTTCAGTAATTCGAGCTCTACAACCTTCATTTCAATTTTATTTTAAATCTTTTTCTTTTAATATAGCATTGGTGGGTTTGTAAACCAACAAATGAAGTCATGCTGCCCTTAGCTAATGCTGTTATGCATGATTATGCATTTTCCTGTCAATATCTCTAAACATTTTGATGTTGCACCCATTTTTAATTGGTAAACATCCAAAAGTTTACTAATTCTTCCCTGATATCCAGGGATTATTCCCTGTTACTTTCACCGAATATACATTCAATTGTTCAAGAAAAATGTTCCTGACAAACATCATGGGCCTTCTGACTAGTGGGCTTTCTGACTAGTGGGCCTTCTGACTAGTGGGCTTTCTGACTAGTGGGCCTTCTGATGATAAGGGTGTAACCATCACCAATGGGAGCTGACGTTGCTGTAATCATCATTGTCAGAAAATAAAACTGGAGATTGGAGTACTGATGGCACTGACGCGTGAGTTGAAAATGGCCATTTAAAATATCAAAATGTTTAGCTATTAACTTGTTAGAACTAAATACAAGCAAAAATGTTCAAGGTTAAATTCTTAAACCTTCCACACTAAAATCAAGTGAATATACAACAATGAAATCTCAGTCTCACTGCCTTTGAAAGATGATAGAACTGGTCTCACAACCATTTCAACAGAATGTTCTGAACACAACTGAATTACTCAAACATTATTTTCCTTACCTTTCAGAGTGGCTTGTTATCTGCTGAGGTATAGTCAAGTTTATAACAATAGAAATGCATTCATGAGAATAAAACCGACTTAATAATGCTGCTGAATCCACACTGTATGTGTAGGTTTGTTAGCGATTTAACATAACATAAAAAATGTTTACAATGCCATACATCCATAATTGGATTCCCACAAAAGCCACGCACACAATACCTTCCCTGTATTCACACTCTCACACTGCACGTTTGGTAATGGCTTAATGGAAGTGTGTCTGTGTTGTATACAATAGGCTTTCTCCGAATTAGAGAGCCACACCTATGCTAAATTGAAATACTGTATTTGTTGGACTATTAAATCAGAGAATAATTCACACTAGCTAGAAGAAGAAAAAAAAAAATCATATATAAGTCGCATCAGACTATAAATCGCATTTTTTTGGGGACATTTATTTTATAAAATCAGAGACCAGAAACAGACATTTCATGTTGAAAGTCAAGTTCTAGAGAACAACAGACTGTTAACGTCACATATGAACAGTTCTTCAGATAAACTATGACATAAACAACAGAACAGAACAAGTTTACCAAACTCTCCATCTCACTCCAAATCACTAAATCCATTCAATTCTTCATCCTCGGTGTCACTTCTGAACAACTCGGCCTCCACCTCCGGAGGTAAACAGAGCGTCACTTCCTCTTCTGTGTCGCTGTCGTCAGACTCAGCATCAGTTCCAGTTAGAATTATTCGAGCCTTTCTGAATCCAGACAGGATGGTTTCAGTGTCACTGATGACTGGTTCGGTTGTCACTGCTCGATTATCGTTTTCAGCTGCAGATTTCACGACTTGCAGTTTGTAATCTGCAAAATCTGATTTTGTTTTTGGGGGCATTTGTGTTCAGTTTTCTTAGTCGTCTTTATAAGTTTGTTTAAATGTTAAATTGTTCAGTGGTGCAGAAGTAATGGTGCGATCGACTGACATGATACAGACAGAACAGAGGCTCTTTCTGCAGGAGACATGTGCAGTAGAGTGAAGTGACAGTGGTACAGGAGGAACAGGAGCAGCAGAAACTCACACACAAGACTAGAACGCGCTTCAGTGTGAACATTTTAATATAGAAGGAAACACCCAAACCATTAAAAAACATGTGACTTATAGTCCAAAAGTATATGAGATTTTTTTTTTTTTTCTCCTTCAACACAGGCATTGGATCGATTCATGCATGTTCTTGAAATGACCAACATGTTTGCCAATTACTCAATACCGAGAACAACAACAACAAAACCTTTTCTTTTAACCTTAGTAAATATAGAACAATGAAGTCAAAGCCTGCACTGCATTTGAAAGAGTATAGATCTGGTAACATTATTTTCCCCGCCTTTCAGAGCAGCTTGTTATCCGCCGAGGTATAGTCGAATTTATAACGACAGAAATCCATTCACAAGAATAAAACCGCCTTAATAGCGCTGCTGAATCCGCACTGTACTTTTGGGTTTGTTAGCGATTTAACATAACATAACACAATCAGCTTACAATGCCATACGTCCATAAAGGGATTCCCATAAAAGCCACGCGCACAATACCTCCCCTGTATTCACACTCCCACACTGTGTGCTCCGTAATAGTTTAATGGAAGAGGGTCTGCGCTGTATACTATAGGCTTTCTCCGAATTAGGGTTCCGGAGAGGACCATAATGGAGGCATTGACTGGGCCTATTGGATTCTCATTACGGGGCATGCAGCCAGGTGGACTACAGAGGGATGTTGCCCACGGCTCAGGAGCAGCAGGAGAGGAACATTTAGAGCAGGCCGGTTATTGCTCTTCTTCACAGATCGTTATAGTCCAGGCTCGGCGAAAGTGAGGCGAGGAGGAGTTCTAGCATATTGGAGCGCGGTGTATCCTCTGACAGCGGGTTTGGCACGAGAAGGTCTGAGTAAGGGAGAATGGATATACAGTACTTAAAGAGGAGGTATTACACTTCTATGGGGTATTAATTGTTAGTGCAGAGTATATTTAGATTACCAAGTCACCTTTTTATCATCGTGATGATTACTTAAACATGCATGGATGACATATGGGCCTGGTCAAGCAGAAGTAAACACAAGGCCAAAAATTCAAGTTAATGCATCTGATATAAAAATGTATTGAACAGATACATATGTACTCTAGTTTATGAAACTGTTGACCTTTTTTCTGTACCATTTTTGGTTCTAAAGTTCCATATGATTTTAAACAGACCATGTATGAAACATGGAACAAAAATTATTTCCCAAATTTCAAAGACCTGCAAATCATGTCAATAAATGGATGTATTTCATCATATCTTGTGTTATTCCATCTTTGAACTGTTGATGAAGGTACATGATTTTTCAAAAAAAAAAAAATTATTTAAAATGATCAAAATGTTCTTGGAAGGACTGATATATTTTATAGAAATAGTTTCCTTTCATTTTGAAGTAATATTAAAGTATTCAGAAGAAAAAAGTGACAAATGATGTCAAATCCTGCACCTTCTACTTGTTTGTACAATTTTCCCTCCGTTACTTTTCCCTCCGTTACCATGACCTTTCTTAATAAAAAATCTCATGACTCAAAAAGTAAGAGGTTTTTCAACCTAATCTTGTACCATATGGTAGAAAACTATATGAAGCAAATATTCAAACCAGTTTGTTAAGGATATGGAAGTGAGAACCAAGAGTTATCACTGTTTGGATTTATTGACCAAAAAGTGCTGCATATTTCATTCCCTCCGTTACTGACATGAGTTTTAAAATTTTTTGTCAACAACAGTGTTAACTCTTTCCTACATTCTGATACTTTACTTCAATAGTCCCTCTAGTTTCTGAATAAGAGACATTTGAATGTAAAAAATCTGCCACTGTTTCCCTCCGTTACCACTTGACTGGACCCATGTAACACCACATCAGACATGGTTTTGATGAGGGAGCAACATTATAACACGGTAGAAAGATCAACCATGTCAATTTTGCATAATACCACCCATAGGTTTGACTGAAATGATCCAGAGTATGAGGTTAAACCATGTTACGTCCCCTTTGCTACGGGAGAAAGGGAAGTAACAATAACAAAAAAACAAGATGTTTAAGGTTTAACAAAAAATTGTGCATTTATTATTTACAGTGTAGGAAAAGGGGGGAGCACAGAAATTTGGGGAGAAAATAAAAAGGATTTAAACTAAATAATCTACTAAACTAAGGTGCCCTAACTAAGTACAACGCAACAAAATCTAACTAAAGTTGCACTGCGAAAACAAGGTGTATCAATGAAATCAACAGAGGCAACATTATAACAAAAAACAAAATGAGACAACCAAAATTCAATCAAACAAAAGGGGGAGCTGGCCGCAGGGATCCAGCCGCCCCGAGCAGGTGGAAGACTGTCCTTTTATACCCTGCGCTCCCACAGGGGGCATCCACGGATTGGTGGGGGCGGAAGGGTGACCGGCCAATCCTCGACGTGATCTGACGCCCAGCCTCCGTCCGGCGTCCACTGCTCCCGCGCATTCGGGTCCAGGACTTGCAGACCGATCACATAACACACACAAAAGCAAATGGAAAGAATGGGAGCACTCTAATACCAGAGGGCCAAGGCCTGTAACAACCAACTCAAATCAGGCCAAGTTATAGCTCAGATCTGCACAGAGTTGACCCATCTTAAATTTATTTTCTGCCATTTTTGCTTGTGCAGGTGAACGTGCCTGAAGACTGGAGTAAGGCCATCTTCACGGGGTACAAGCACGGTCAGAGGAACCAGAGCGAGCACACATCTCTGCTGAAGCTCGAGGGCTTCTACACACAAGACAAAGTCGACTTCTACCTGGACACAAGCTGCAACTGCGTCTATAAGGCCAAAAAGAACACAGTGACCCCTGGTGACAAACCCAATAAGACTTGTGTGATTTGGGGCAGAGTGATGCGAGCCCATGGCAGCAGTGGGATGGTGCGCGCCAAGTTCAACATGAACCTCCACGCCAAGGCCATCGGGCACCGTGTCAGAGTGATGTTGAACCCGACACAAGTCTGAGGAAAAACTGGTTTATTTGTAAATTAATGAATGAGGTTATGATATTTTTTCAAGGTGCATTTGGGCAATAAAAACACCTGAATTACTACAAGACCAGTTTAATGCCATACTGTGGAACGTTACAATCAAAGCTATAACCGTGGTGTGAAACTCCCCCGTAAAATCACACAGTGTCATTCTGGGTATCCCCACATTCATAAGTGTAACATGTCTGGGATGGCTCTCACTCTGTTAGTTTTGTATTGTTCTGCACTGGCCTCCACCCAGAGCACAGCGCTGCCATGTGATTAATCAGTCTAGTGTGGGACTTATCACCTGCAAACCATTTGAATTCTTGTAGCCAATAATAAACCATCATGTAGATTAGATCATTTGATGAATAAAGACTAGACTAATGATGTTCTATTCAAAACTACCAAATGAATTCTTTCCTGCAGGTTCTGCTTCGTCATAGCAATCAACACATTTCCATTCATGTTTTATATGTGGAAATAAAATGCCCACAGAACCATTTGAACAGTTGAACATTTGTGTACAAGGCTGCATTCAGACTGCAGCCTGAAGTGACCCAAATCAGATTTTTTGGCCTCTATGTGACCTGTATCTGATCTTTTAATGACAGTTTGAACGACACAGATCCAATTTTTTCAAATGCGACTCACGCCACTTGGATATGTGCTCCTGAAACCGATACATATCTGATCTTTTGACATGCGACTTCAGTGTGAACGGCCAAAGCACATTCATTTGACCTACACATTATCAACAAGCCACAAACGTCACTATTCTGCGCTGAAGTAGGCGAAAATTGTTAATGAACTCTGTGTCACTGAAGCGAAGCACATCACCACTCACCACTCTTGGCTACATCTACGCCACGGCCAAAAACCTCGTCCTTCTCCTTCTCAGTCTCCTCCTTAAAACAAGTAAGTTGTTCATGTTCTGGCTCCGGTACGAGAGGAACTTTAAAATCTCCAGGTGCTCGATGCTCGCTGTGGTTGACGTCATCGTGTCTCCAGTGTCACATGTGGGACACTTTCGGGCCGTTTACTGTTCACACTGGAGTCACATACAAGTTTACAATTTAATTGGAAATGTGTACGACCTCGCAAAAACATCGGATTTCACAAAAAAATCGGAATTGAGCGTTAAACCCTGCTGTCTGAACGTAGCCCAAATGTAGTACAAGGCTGTGTGTGGGGATAAGTGATTTTCTGAGCACTCAGGCCTCAGTTGCAGAACAGAACAGTCTTACTCAGACATGCAGGGTTTAATCAATAAACAGTATAAACCACTGTAACATGGTTAAAAGCTCTAAGAAGTAAATGTTGCAGAGATGTCTCCTTTAATAACTGACACAATAAAGGACCAAGGACACTTCCAGCTTAGTCCTTTTGCCATGTCTTTGTTGATAACTCCATCTGACCTGCTCCTCTGAGGTTACACTACAATGGAATATGGTCAGACTTGAATTGACCACTTCAACAATGTGTGGAGTGTTCACGTCTTTGGATCTAGTAGTGACGGTACATGATTACTCTTTACAACTCTAGGGCTATTCAAACCACCTCTACAAGAAAAAAAAAAAAAAAAAAGTTTAAGAAAACGTTTTAAAAAAGTAATACAAGAACTGCCCCTTGGACCACTTAAGTGACAGTAGCGACCGCGGTCAGGTTCACAGGGCCAATCAGGCTCTGTGACCAAGAAATGGAAGCTCTGGCCTCTTGATGACAGTGGAGATTGGGGTTAGAGTTTGTCATTGTCAAACCACTGTGTAAAAAAGAAGTCCATGTAACAAGCAACGCAATATCAACTTTTTAAATTATACTTGGTAAGCCCTATATGTATGTATATCTACATAATGATATTTACGTTTGGTAACACTTTTGACATGGATAGTTAATAGTAAAGTGCATAAGTGCTTAATTATTTATTTAATCCGTGTGTCATTCGTTCTTTCATTTTTCAATATAAAACCAAAAATAAGAAAAAAATAAAAATAAAAATATTTTCATCATTATTTGTCTCCAAAACCAAATTGAGGAAAAAACAAAACAAGACGGATAACGATTTGTTTTTTTCAGTTTTCGATTTTGTGTTTAAATGAATAATGGGAAAAAACTGATAAAGTTTCCTATTAACGTGACTTAAGCTGCGATGCCAGACTTTTGCACTGCATACGGACTGAACCAGGACTAAAGCAGGTCTGACCAGACCGGAACCAGACCGGGACTGGGACCAGGACTTAGACAGGGATGAGACCAAGACTGAGCCTGGGACCAGGACTTCTCAGTCCGGGACCAGACTAGGACTGAGACCAGGACTGAGGCTGGGACCAGACCAGGACCAGGCTGTGATTGAGACCGGGACCAGACCAGGATTGAAAACGGTCCTGGTTTAGTCCTGTTTTATTCCTGATTTAGTCCGTATGGGGCGTAAAAGTCCGGCATCACAGTTTCAGTCACTGAAAACCATTCATTTAAACACAAAATTGAAAACTGAAAAAAAAAAAAGAAAAAAATCGTTATCTGTTTTTTTCATTTTGGTTTTGGAGAACAATAATGAAGAAAATAGTTGTTTTTTTCTGTTTCTTATTTTTGGTTTTATATTGACAAACTAATGAAAGAATGATACACGAACGGATTTTCTTTGTTAGTATTTATAAAGTACATTCAATGCATTTTTGTTTAAGGCCTTTGGTTTTTTTTTTTTTTTTTTTTTTTTTTTTTGGGAGTACTGACCCATTAACTATTTCCTTCTCATTAAAGTAATGAAGATTACAATAAATGTTTTTTTGTGCATACACTGAAATGTTAATAAACATCAATACGTGTTTGATTAATAAAAAACTAATAGCTGAGTAACAGCTAATCATTTCATTAGTTAGTAATATGTGGTCTCTAAACTCAAGTGTTACACCACATTTATTTACATTTATGTGACATATATCAGGTAGGTGAAAAATACAGTAGTATCGGTATCGTTAAGGACTATGCAATGCCCCATTTACACAATTAATTTAAACTGTGAATCGATATCTTAATATCTTATAATTTGCAATATTATTTTAAAACAACTCAAGAAAAGAAAATAGTTCTCAGATGTTTGCATTAGAAAACTGGTGCCCTTGAGCTGCAGATCAAACTGGCTAACATCAGATTCTTTTTTTTTATTTTTTATTTATACCAAAATGACTATGTGATGCTGCCAAATCCATAATTGGTGAACAAAGTAAGTTTGTCACAGTGGGCGTGTCCTGGTGGAGCTGAAAACAGGGTTGATCAGCAACACGAGGTCTTTAAAATAAGTGATAAAGTCGCTCAGACATGCACGAATCACTCCAAATACAACTTTGAGCGGGTAAATGAGAAGGGGACACAAGAACCCAGCAGGAAGCAAGCCAGGCTATCCAAAGAATACTTTTCTTTCTCCCACCCCAGTGTTCGATTCCAAGTGTATGATGTTGGTAGTAGCTTCACTTTTTGTTCCATAATGGTTCATTGATGTTACTACAGACCAACTTTTGGAGCTTAGAAAGAAACATTTTGAACCTGAACAGAGAATTCCAAACTCTGTGAAAGTGTCTTGATTATGGGTCCATTCTGTTCCAAGTGAAAGGGCCAGGACTCAGTTTTGAGCAAAATTGGTCTTGTCCCAGTTTAGATGTATTGTATAAGCAGGTCTTGTGGTCAAAGTAAGTTCACTGTGTACTGTCAGCTTTTGTTTAGGAACTGTTTTACTGTCCAATAATCAGGACGTGCATGTTAAAGGTTGTATAGAGGATTTTCCAAGGAACGAGAAATGCAGCGACTGTTTGTCCTTTTTCAAATGTTGCGCATGCGTGAAACCACCCCCCCTCCCCCACAGCTCCTACGTAGAAACGCCTCCTCCCACCTCCTCTTTACGCCAGAAACAGGTTTGTTTACAGCCGGTGAGCTGCACATGACTTGTAAACAACTAACTACAGTGTTGGTTAGGCAAGGCGGAGAAGTGAGGAGCTGGGGGAGCGGGTGTGCGGACATTTCATTCGCGGACGAGAAGTGAGGAGCAGGGAGAAGAGCGGAGCAGGGAGAGAGGAGAGGAGAGGGGAGAGGGGAGCGGTGCGCGGAGATTCCGTGCCCGGAGAAGTAAGGAGCAGGGGGAAGAGCGGAACGGGCAGCGGGGACAGGAGCAGGAAAGGGGAGCAGAGAAGGTTGCGCGGAGATTCCGTGCGAATGAACTAGCTACAACACGCAGCAGCAAGCGGACTCTTTCTTTGCCTTGAAAATGACGTTTTCAGACATAGGATATCGCTTTCGTGTCCTGAAAAACGTTTGACTAGCTCTTGGAAATAAAGTACGTTTTCATAATAAGCAGAAGTTTCCTGTCCAGGAGTAATTTGTGGACCAGTGCGTCAGTCTTTAGACCCTTCGTCTGCTTCAGTCGCGCCATCGCTGGAATGAATCTATAAGAATCACCTTAGTTTGGCTTCGCTGCTTTTCCCCTTGTCTTCTTCTTTCAGCGACCTCAAAAACTGACTTTCTTTTGTGGCTAACTGCTCCTGGATTCTTGTCGCCATTGCAACAAACTTTGTGCGAACTGCGAGGAAGATATAGGTCAAAAAAAGCCGCCAAGAACTGTTGCGTTGGTGGAGTAAACAGCGTCTGTGCGTCTTGCGTCTGTGGACTGTGTGACATTACGTAAACCACGTAACGGCAGCGCGCAGACAAGTCAGTTACACTAGAAATGTAGGGAGTTTGATTGACAGCCTGTCAGCTCACAGATAACGAGGCAGTGTCGTTATCTATTGGCAAATGTTTAGCCCCACCACGTCCAGAGTTGATGAATTTTTATTCTCTTTTTTTTGGTCATCATAATTACAAGGCTACTGCACCTCTATAATGCTATCATTGACAACTTGAAACAAAAAAAACAAAAAAAAAATCCTCCATACAACCTTTAAGACAGAAAAAAACTGGTTCAGTGTCCTTACATCATCTAGTTGCTGTTAGGGGGTCAGT